CACATTCTTTTTCCTACATATACTTAACACCAAATAAAGCCAGAGGTAGACTAAGAGTCAACCTCTCCAGGCAGTGTACCTGACAGATGCCTGAGGGGCTATCATGTAGAATCATCTGCAGTGGTCCAGGAGAAACATTGTGAAGAACTAAGGCCTGAGAACCAAAAATGGGATCCAGGTTGACATGAGACTGGAGACAGGGATAGAAAACTTGTACAGAAACACTTTGGGAGCTGGTGCGAAATTACTCAAAGCCTTACACATCAAAATGGCTTCTGCTGAGCCTCCAAAGGTGTGGAGTGCCAGTGTGTCACATCAGTTAGGCACTGGTAGAAGAAGGTCACTGGTAGAGTGCCAGCCCATCATTTCCTAATATGTGTGTTCACTGCACCATGAATTTTAGTGTATACTTATCATCTCACAGTTCTGTACCTCAGATGTTCAAGCTGCCCCTCCCCCACAGTTTCCCTGCTCTAGTGTTCACATGGCCAAAAGCTGAGACTCCTATTGGAAGGCTCTGGGAAAAATATACTTTCCATCCCATCAAAATTCCAACAAAGGTAGGACTAATATCCTGGTTTCCTTGTGGGCAGCCAGGATTCCTGCTCAGCTTCTAGATGCTGTCCTGCATTTTTAGGCTCATTACCTTCTGCCTATCTCTCCAAAGCCAGTAAGACTGTCTCATATTTCGAGCTTTCCTCCTTTGCATTTCTGTCTGCTGCCCTCTGCCCTCTGCCTTCCTCTTTTTGGTCTCTTTGTGGGCTCCTCTGCCTTTCTCTTCTGCTTTTCAGTGCCCATGTGATAAATCAAGATAATCACTCCCATTTAAAGTCAGCTGGCTAGTGACAGATTGTTTCTGCCAGTTCCTTTACAGTGTTTCCACAATCAGAAGACAGAAATCTTTCTAATTCTTTCTCCCATGCCATGGTGGTACATTTGTCTTCATTCTCTAAGTCTTGGTGGGTTTTAAGCAGAGTAAAGTGTCTGCCTATCTGGACTTCCACAGTTACTAATCCGCCCAGGCTTCTGCCTGTCTCCACTTTTTAGTCCCTCTCTTCCCCCAGAAGTCCTCTACTGAATTTTCTTTGATCTCCCTTACCAACTACCTTTCTTACTGACTTGAGGAAGCAATGTTTGGAACCCCCATTGTTTTCTTAAAGGCCTCTAGTTAATTCCCTTGAGTGGGGTTACCCCTCATCAACCTCCAGGGACCTAGAATATCTCTGCCTTGTCTTAGAGAAACATTTCCTATAGAACCTCTGTAACTAACATAGGGAATAATTTTTATTCCTTTAGCAACTTGGAAGGAAAGTATAACTAAATTGCTATTATTACTAAATTGCTAGTCCTTATCTGAAACAGACTTTGAAAATTTGAATTTTAGACTATTTGAGTATATCTAATGTGATATTTTGAAGAGAGTACCCAAGTTCAAAGTTGAACTTCATCTAGGTTTAATGAATACTTTATATATGTAGCCTGAAGGTAATTTCATACAGTATTCATAATAATTTTTCATCAAACAGGTTTGTGGTGGGAAGTCCCTCTTACAGAAGAGCCAAAAGAAGTAAAGTGTGCATAGCGTCACAAATCTCCCACAGGCTTTACATTTGACTGTCTCACCTCAACATTCAAAGTAGGCACGTGCATATTTATAAGTACACTCTCTCTGATTATGCTTCCTTTCAGCTTCCTCTTATCAACGGAATCAGTCAGCCTTCAGCTGAACCATATAGCTCATTTGGCCTGTCCCAGTTTTTGAAGCCAGTACAAATGTGTATATACACACACACACACTCAGAGAGAGAGAGAGAGAGAGAGAGAGAGAGAGAGAGAGAGAGAGAGAGAGAGAGAGAGAGAGAGAGAGAGAGAGAAAGGCATCTCTGGCACTCCTAGGTATACACCTTTCACAACAATGCGTTCTAAGTCTCCCTCATCCTCTTGAGTGGTCCACATGGCAGACATTCCATACATAGTGCCATCTTGGACTGCTTTTGCCAGGGCAGAACTGCTAGAATGAAATGTACTTACTGGAAAGTTGCCCCTCTGTTGTCTGCACATACATATGAGGTGAGATGTCAAGGTTGTCAGGCCTCCAATCACAGTATCTCTTTGCTTCAGGGAGATATGTCTCTCACTGAGTCTCACTGAAAGCTCCAGCCCTGGTGTTAGTATGAAGGAATGCAGGAGACTTCTGTGATGCTGTGCTTACTGCTTCTCTTTGATGTGCCATATTGCATGCAATAAACCTAGGATTCCTTCCCAAGAAGGATGATGTCTCTTTGAATGACCACCTTGTTTTCCCTTTCAGAAAAGCTATTTGCATCTTGTGCCCTCCTTTTGCTGCAGCTACTGTCAAGCTCAAGAGTTAAAGTTTAAACCATTGAGTACCTTAGTTGTAGTTTCTAGAGGTTCTCCTCTAGAAAATGTCCCTTTGTTCTGGAAGGACTAGAAATTTATAGAAAAGGTCACGGGATCATTTTGCTCAAACACTAATGGCTTTGAAAGTTATTATGGGTATTTACTAATTATTAAAAAATGAAATATAACCATGTCATATTCTTGTATGTCTTCATGTTTTTTAATAATTGAGAAAGATATCAGAACAAGCTATATTATCCACATTGTAACATAAAAATTAAGTTCTCTAATGACTATAGATAAGGAAATGCTCCTGATATACAGAATGGACCCCACACCCTACCTGCCATCACACACGATCCGGATTTGGTCTTGTACCCACCTGCGGTTCATCCTTGCAGAGGATCATGACTTGATCCACTTCCAGTTGCTGTCTGGAAGAAAGGAACTTTCTCACCTAGCTCCAGAAGGGAGCCCTAAGGTGCAGCGCAGTCAGCTGCCCTGTTAGATGAAGAGCAAAGGGTGAGCAAATATCTATGTATCTATCACACTGTCACAACCCAGGCCTCTGCATACTGTGCTATAGGTGGCTCACCCTGTGTATTCACTGGAGGCGGCCTGTGACAAGGCTGTATCTATTTTTCCTGCCACATGGGGTGGCTCATCTTTATTTACACAAGGACTTTTGTGAGTTTCTAGAAGCTGTTTGTACCCCAGTCTCATAAGAAGCACTCCTAGGATCGGGAAGGGCAAGAGTGGGAACTTAGGAATTGGGAACATCAAGTAAGTTCCACCACATGTCTAATGACTTCTTTTTTCTTTGAAGTTGTGAAGCAAATATCTTCTCATCCCTGCTCATATTTTAGTACCTGAGCAGTAAATGTCCAGCTATTGTTATAGGATCAGACATCAGGAGAAAGAATGGTATAGACAGAATCTTTATGTACTATGTGGAAGCGTTATGTACTGTCAATAAAAAGCCTATGACCAATGAGCTCAGGCAGGATTAGAAGGTAGGAACAGTAAGAGTATGGCATGTTTCATGAGGAAAGCAAGAGTAGATACTGGAGGGATTAGTGGGGGCCATTCCAGGAAGGTATAACAGACTTCATTCTCTCTCTAGGGCCAAGGTAATGAGGAAAAGTTGACCAGAGTATTTTATTTGGTGGTATTCTGAGAGTGGAGGTTTTTTAAATTTTTTTTTCTGTTTTGTTTGTTTATGAGATGAAGTCTCATTGTGTGTTCCAAGTTATTCTGAATTCACTCATTCAGTTAAACTAACTTTGAACTCTTAATTCTTATGCCTCAGTTTATCTTCCTGGTGCTAGGCTTTAACAGAGAGTGACATGTTCAAGTTTGGGAAAAAGAATGATTATACTAGCTCCACTGCAGGAAACAGTTAGAAATGGTCTCTCTCATTGAGCAGGAAGGATAAGATGAAGGAAGTGAAGAGCACAGAAGACAAAGGCAGATGGAGTTCAAAAGGGTTGAGGAACTAAATGAAGGAGAAAGCACGAAGAGAGCTCCCACAATGAAGTCTATGTCCTGCAATAGAATGCCCTGCCTGCAGAGAGCAACCAAAGAAGGCTTGAAAGGAAGGCCAAGGGTGTTTGTCAGACCACTCACCTCAGCCTTGTTGCTGACTACATAGTCACACCTGCTGTATGTAGCTCAAGACTGCTCAGACCATACCACCCATATGACATAAGTAAATTTTACACTGTAAAAATCTACTGTGAGGCCAAGTGAGGTGGCTCATTGAGTGAGCACACTTGCTGGCCAGTCTGACAAACAAAGTTAGATCCTCAGGATCCTACATGGCCAAAGAAGAAACTCAGCTTCCAAAAGTTGTCCTTGGACACATACAAATCACAAGCACATATGCACATAGATATATCAGTTTCTCTTTTTCTAAAGTAAACAAGGTTTTGATGCCCACAAGCTTGAAGACAACATCAGCCTGTACCCTCTCTAAAGATCCAATAAGAATACTGACAGAGAGATGTGAAAGGAAACTGTGAACAAGCTTACTGCACCACACACATCTCTACAGAAACTGACCTGCTCATATGGTTCTGATTGATTTTAATGGAATTCCTTTGTAAACCATAGATTCTAAATTATCTCGCAGTAGGTATAACATCTGTAGGAGACATTATTTACCTTCAGTAACCCTTGAGTACTGGCACATTAAGTTCTGACAGAAGCTGAATTCATAGGCATCTTTCAATTAAATGCCAACTGTTCACCTTTTTTATTTTGTATATGCCACAGAAGATACTTATTTATAACATTTTTTATCACATTTAATTTCATGTTAAAACTATCAAATATAATCTTATGAGAGGTTTGTTTATTTTCTTATTTATTTATTTATTTATTTATTTTAAATTTTGGTTTGATTTGGTTCAATCTGAGGACAAAGAAAATTTTAGCATAGGGGAGGGATTTTTTTCCCCAAGTCTGAAGTTTAAAAAATTTAGTTAATTCCACAATCAGCTCACAAAAACAAGAAATTTGCATATGAACTTGATGCAGGCAGAATGCAAGTCTGAGCATGCTCCCAGTCTATGGAAGCTATCTCTATGTATGTCAGCTGCTTTTGGCCCCTCATTCTTCTCTTTTCTTCCTCCCTATAGGTCACTGGATTGACTCTGTCTCAGGACCTTGATGATCTTGCCATCCTCTACCTGGCCACTGTTCAAGCCATTGCTGTAAGATGCTTTAATGAAATTTCAAAAACAAAGCAAAGCAAAATGAAGCTTTGTGTTATCAATATGTTCTGAGCCACAAGATCCCTGAGAGGCACCGCAAAGCTTTTGTGGCAGTTTCTTAATTAGAAGAGAGGTTGCCTCAAGAGTTGTTCACCTGTCCAGACAGCAGTGGTGACAAGGGTTCTCACCTGCCTTCATGATAGATTCACAGCAATGGGAGCCAATGAAAGGGGAAATCTTTGAGCATCAGTACTTGTCATTTGTCTGAAGATTTCTAAATTCAATACAAGCAAAGAGGCAGAATCCAAGAACACGTGCAGTTGGAAAGCTGCCATTAAGAATGTTTGCTTTTGTACAGTACATAATATTGTTTGCTTTATAAAAGACTTCATTATAAGGTTCCCTTAAATTTCAAGCCTTCTTAGAAACATTTTGATTTAGGGTAGTTAGGGATTTACATGACGGGTTAAAATGACTAAGGCAAGAAGGGAGAATTTCAATCTAAAATTTGAGAGGCTCTTAAAGTGAGGTCTACAATGAAAACTAAACCCTAGAAGCTCAGATGTTGCCTAAGGAATCCTCTTGTGCAGTGCTCCACAGATAGGCTGCCAGGGGTTTCTAATGCCCTAACATCACACAGAAGTCCGCATGTGCACCTGGCCTAGAAAGTGCATCCACAGAAATGGGTCATGACAGTAGGCCTATACTCCACAAGTAAATCAGTGGTTTTGTGAATTTTAGAAGGAGAAAAAAAAGAAGAAAAAAATAAATTTACTAAAGTTGGATTTAAACTCTGTTATTTGTCATTAAACTCATGGTTCATTATTATATAGATTTATTTATATGATTATGGCTATGTATGTATGCCACACATGATAAAACCAGGAGAAGGTGTTAGACTTAGGAGATGTAGTAAAAGGTGGTATGAGCTGCAGAGTGTGGGTGCTGGGGATTGAACTCATGTCTTCTGTAAGATCAATGTATGTTCTTAACCACTGAACCATCATTCCAGCTTGTTACTAATTACTATTATTATTGTTTGTAGCCATTCTTTGACTACTTTGTGGGTTATTGCTTCCTCCATCCTTCTCCACACCTCTTCTTCCACCCTTTCAAACCCTAACACTAGAAAGGAGAGAAAAAAAGATAAAGGGGAGAGGGGGTAACAGTATAATTAGGGACATTGAGTTCCTTGGGACACGTTTAATCTTCACCATCAGGCTATCTAATTAGTTCCCCTCTTCCTCCTCCTTCTCTTCCTCTTCCTCCTCTTCCTCCTCTTCCTGCTCCTCCTTCTTGTTTTTTTCCCACAGCCTTATCCAAGCTACCAATAACCCACTATCTCTTGGGGTCCTAGCATTTATTCAACCTCTGAGGAGTTCCCAGAGTTTCAAATGTCACAAAATCGCACTAACTATCTGCATTTGGCAAAAATCACTCCCCTACTAGAGTACGAAGGAAATCATAGTCAACTGCTGTAGACAGTCTGAAGCAGCCCTGGTCCCATACCTGGGATTAAAACCAAAACATATTCTTATCTTACTTCTGTGTTTTTAAAGAAACCAAAATACTCATGGTGATGGTGGTGATTATTATTATTATTGTTATTATTATTATTTGTACTGGTGGTGGCAGTGCTGGTAGTGTTAGGGATTAAACCCAGACTCTTACTCTCTGAGACAAGCTTTCTACCTCTGAGCCTATCTCCATCCCTAAACAAAGGTTTTTGGTTTGCTTGTTAATGGTGTACAGATATATGACATTCACTAATTTTAACAACTGTTTATATAGTCTTACTGTCTTAAATACATATATGCATATTTATCCATATCACCAACACAAGTGCTCTGATAGTACTCACACCCAGGTGTCACATGTGTCTAGAAAACGGAGCTCCCCAGTCACTACAGTACTATCCATTCTGCAGAGCCACTGCAAAGGCATATGGAACCTGCCCACTCAGCAACACAGCCTCTGTAGACTATAGACCAGAGTGTTTCTCCCTTAGGCAACTTCCCTCTTGACTAATACCTTGAGCAGTTCAGTGAAACCAATCAAAACTCTTTCTACATAGAAACTACAAGCAAACAAAGAGAAGACAGAGGCAAACCAATACCCAGAGAATTCTGACATCTATCAACATGGAGAATATGAAAAGAAGATGAAATCTGAAACATGTCTATTATTAGTAAAGATATACAGTTATCCTGTTTTAAAATGGAGGACATTGTCATGATATTACTGATGCAGAATAGAATTTGGAGATATTTGTTATATTCCAGACTCTGTACTAAATGCCATCATCTGATTTAACCATATGATAGTGCTATTATGTTCCTCAGTTCACCCACTAGACTCTTAAGCTTTAGTATATACTAGATCAACCTGCTCAGTGCCATGTAGTTGTATATGGCAGGGCAGTAATGAAAGCCCATGATTTATAAAAGAAAACTTTAGGTATTTAAGAGGTATTGGTGACATTTTAATTTTTGATTTGTGAATGTAATTGTATGAAGGAGCTTGCAATAGGCTCAGTCACTTGCATTGAAAGGAATAGTTCTGGAAAACTAGAGATACATGATGCTCACACCTTGTGAGCAAATGCTAAGATGTGGACATGAAGTACAAAGCTAAATAGCAGAGGCCAAGAATTTTATCCCATCGTGGTAAGGACTGTGATCCTTAAGGGGCTCCAACTCTGTGCCTGGCCCCAAAGTGCCTTGCCTGTCCAGGCCTTAAGACTGCAGCCCTGTAAACCAAGGAACTTGTCTTTACACTTGAGATGAGGGCAGGCTGCTTGCCAGGGTCTTACAGTTAGTGCACACAGTTGGAATGAGAGCCTGTGTCCATCTCAGCCCCAGCTTCTGCTCTCTTTTCTTTGTTGGTGTGTTTTTCTTTGATCTTTTCATAAAAGCTACAGGAGTGAAATAAGTTTTCAGGCATTCTCAAAACAACTTTTACTTAACACATATCAGAAAACATCATTCACTTGGCCTGGAATCTTTTTCACAGGGTACTTCTCCTGGTAAGAACATTGCAGCAGGAAGCCCAGGAATGCAAAAGAAGATTAAACTTAATAATGCATGCAGGAAAGGAGGGAGAGACAGCCAGCTATGTTTTCTCAAGTAACACAGTTGGGAAATCAATCTTATATTTAATGGGCCATACGTACATTTAAAGTGATCCTATTTTTTCTGTCTATTGTCTTAATGACCTTTATAATTCCATGCAGGGAAGACATTTTAAGACAGATTTCCTGATAAAACTTTATTATAGAGTCAATTAAATTTGGGAGGGGTTCCATCTGTTTGAAAAAGTATCTGAGTGTACTGATTTTCTAGGCAAAAATGTGCATTTTAATGAAGCATTTTGATAACAGATATTTTCCCATAATGTTCATCTTGGGGAAAAAATATTTCCTTCTTCCTGAATATTGCTTTAGCACCTATTTGTTATTGGTAAGTTAGACAGTTTCCTCTCTATCGTAATATCCATGGTTGGCACTCTGTAGCCATGGAATGAAACTAAAGAAAGAAAAGTTAGCTCAGGATTATGGGAAAGCCCTCCATGCAGTAAAATTCTCTCTTACTTGCCTTCTTTGAAAGACCTGTCAGCCACTTGGTTCGTCCATAGCTTGTCTGTCTGTCGTTCTCTTTTCAGAATAGACCCTTAAAAAGTACTATTTGCATTTGAAGTCTCTTGATTTGCATTTGGTTCTGTGTCCCCTTGGAATCGCCTAATTTTAATTTAAATTTCTCCATGAAAACATTTTTTCCAGAAAGGTGAGCACAGAAGCATTTTTGCACAAAGCCCTTTGCTGGGCATTTCAAGAGGGTGGATCGTCACACAGTAGAGTCTGAGACACTAAAGGAAAGGCCCTGCAAAGAGCTGCCACAGTGGGAAATGAGAGACAGGCTGTCACAGCACTGAAGGGAGTGCCTCTTGTTCATGTCCTTACTTTCCTTCCCAGTAATGTGCTTCGCTATGACCCCAGTCATAGACCTGCTAATCACATGGTCCAAGTGGGTTAACAATCTTCAGTTTTCTAGTTTGTCTTGAAATTAGAGATGACATTGACATGTGCAGCAGAGTGCCCATTGACCCTCCTAGCCAGAAGAGCTCTTTTGTAAGCACTTCCAAGTGCAGGCAGTTGGGAGCTTCTAAGGGACACACTGCTATGTCATGCCATGTTAGAGGCCATATCTTTTATTTCTTTTCATTTATCATTTTTAGCAATCCACATCCAAATGAATGAATATGAAATCATTTATCCCATTAGTAAATGAGAATTGAAGCTTGGGTTGGGTAGAAGAAATAGGTGAACTGCCCATCAGATGAGGTAGGCTTCTTAATGTCAATCAAAGCTCATGCCTTCAGCTGTATAGATTTCAATCTTTAGGATAGATCACAGCAACCTAAAACCAGCAGTCCTCTAATAATCCATGATGGACTTATGGACATCTATTGACCTTCTGACATAATGCTTAATGGTCTATTCTGTGTGTGACATGTGACATTTTTTCTGGAGTTCATGATTTCCCCAAAACTAAAGAAAGAACATCTAGAGAGAATGAGCACTACTCACTAGGAAAGGAATCACCTTGTATGCTACATGTTTCATCTTCAACGCAATACAACCATAGGTATTTTTTGAAGGCCCTAGTTTTACTAAATTCATAATTTTACCAGATTCCTGGGCAGCTTCAACAAATTCTTAAGACTTCTTTGTTGTAACTGTTGTACCTTTTGTTCCTGACTTCCCAAGTGTCTCATTATCTATTATAAACCAATAGGGCTGTCATATCCTTTGGCCCCAAATTACCTTCTGGCTCTTCCCTTCTTTGGAGGGACTCCCATGGCCAGGGAAAATGCCCTTCTTGACGGGGAACTTCCCTTATCTAGACCCCACTCCTCAGGGCCTGAGTCAGTATGCTGTGGAATTCCTAAAGCTTATTTCTCACATGAGCCAAGCATCTCATTCCTCTTGCCTTCAGCATACATCAGATACCAACGCCCCAGTAACGCTTGCACTTTTACTAAAAACTGTCACATTGGCTCATTTCTCTTCTCCATCCCTGTCTCCCCATGGCTGTTTCATCATTCATTGAGATGCCAGGCCTTCTGAATCTGTAACCTGTTATGTTCCCTGACCTCCTCCCCCACCTACCTAGCAATTCACTCCCATCCTCATACCTAGAGCATTGCCACCTCCCCAAACCCCAAGGCTCTAAACATTCAAAGACCTCTCTGTCCACTAAAAATATACTCCTCATTTTTCTTCAGAGCCACTTCTTAACACCACCCTAATTGCCTTCTTAATGCCATGTCATAGTTTAGCTTTTTTAAAAAATATATCATATCCTCAAATAAATTAGGAATTTTGAGCATCTAGGTTTTGAACATCTCTAAAAGTTATGATCACAGCTACTTAAATAAGCAAACCCAAACTACAAATTACCCATTAAGATGCACCTTAATGACCTCAAAGTAGTATCCTCTCCTCAAACCATAGCAAAGTTATTGAGTAAATAGTAAACTCAGCAGGGTAGGAATGGGGATAACTTATTTCCAGAAGATATTACAGATATTGCAGCAGAAGGCTTGAGTAAAACTCTGAGCCAGGCATAGTGTGTTCCCTCTGTATCATCCCAGCTGGCTGGGAATGGATGCTGGTCCAGAGGCCTTGGTTTTTTTTTTTTCTTTGTTTTTTTTTTTAGAACATAATTAAAAGGCAATTTTAGTTCTCTTAGTCTTTTGCTAGCCAAAGGCTTTCATAGTTCTGTTGCTGGAGGTTGTTATTTTTGTTTATTGGTCTTTCTCTCTGTCTCTCTGTCTCTGTCTCTGTCTCTCTCTCTCTCCCTCTCTCTCTCTCTCTGTGCCTGTGTGTGTGTGTTTGTGTGTGCATGTGTGTGACTTTTCTAAGGAAAATATCTTCAGTTCAGTTCCACTTTAATGAAGGAAGACTGCCCCAGGTGTGGCTGACTGATAACATCAGAGCAGCACTATAGTGAGCCCATTGCAAGTGCCTCATAGAGAGGGCCTGGGCCACAATTGGCTTTCATCAGCTATTTGAATGTACTGAGTTAAAATGAGGCATGATACTTAAGGCTCTGCGAACATTGCAGAAGAGTGGATAGAGAGGTTGTAAGAACCAGAGAATCAGGGTGCTTGTTGGGAAGACCATGTCTCCTAAGAATGTCAGAAGTTACATGCATAAAATCTCACCAACATAACTGAGTGCCCAAACATGAACTAAAGAAGGATTCCAATAGATATGCTAGAATGGATAAGGAAAGCCCACAAGGCTTCCGTCCTATACAAAGAACTACAGATGATTAAGTAATGCTGGGGGCAGGAGGAATAGTCTTACCTAGGGAAGAGCACATCAAATGGTTATTCAATACCAAGTGGTTAGCCCTGAAACATGCATCATACAGACTGAGCAGATTGTGTGCATGTGTGTATTATATCACACATAAACACATATGTATGTAAGAAAAAATATTAAAAGGCTATTCATTTGAAAGATTGGGAGGGGTATATCAGGAGGTTTGAAGGGAAAATGATATAATTTTATTATAATTCCATACAAAATTAAAACAATATAAGAAGTAAACACATGACCTGTGATAACACTCCAACTGTTTTACTCCATGTCGTATTAATCCTGAGAGAAGTAAAAGGTGTATGCAGGGGTTTGGAGACATGCAGGCCCAGGGCAGAATTCCCTGTGTGAACCAACTGTGCAATCATAGCTTGAGTGTGTGATCACAGCCATGACCACCGAACCTCACAGCTCAAGGAGGGTAGTGCAGAATTCTGGGTGCCAAGCCAAGCACATGCCAAATACAGATGTTCTTGACGATTTGCCTTCACTGCCACCCTAATGTTTTCCTCTGCTTTCTCCTTTAAGTTTGGGACTCGCTTCATCATTGAGACCATGGAGGCAGCAGGGCATTCTCTCAGTACACTCTTCTTATGTGGAGGCCTGAGCAAGAATCCCCTTTTTGTGCAAATGCATGCCGACATTACTGGTAAGCTTCAGGCCGGGGGCAGGGCTGGTGGAGAACCTTAGGCTGACAGCAGTGGTGAAGAAGGGTAAAGGCAGGCTAAGGATAGGGACCCACTGGTGGTGACTCAAGTTACCAAGGTAATGGTGTAATCTGTGTCTTCAGGATGGGAAAAAAGTACTCTCAGATATGTGCAGTTACTAAGCAAGACACCACAGTTTGCAAGGACAGATCTTAATCCAAGGATCTTTTATCCATCTTTTTTGACTCCTTCTGAACCAAGTGTTGTGGGGAATATTGAAGATAAACAAATGGATAAAACATGACCTGGGTTCAATGAAGCTCAAGGACTCCCCAGAAAGGCAAAAAGCAAACAGACATAATACATACACCGTGAGAAGAGCTCTGAGTGGAAAAAGCGTAATGGGCACTTGGCTGAGTTTTGGACTGTACAGCTCAGGGCAAGTGACCAGGCTATCTGAAAAAGGAACACGGATCCCAAATGCTGTGCAAAAGGTCTAGCATGGGCCTGTAATCCCAAGGGGACCCAGATGCTGAGATTCCTTCTCAGTACCTAAGGGGTTCTGGTCATAGAGTCATGCACTGAGCATCTTGTGATGGGCATAGAGGGTAAGGGACAGTGGCAGACTGGCATCTGGGAAGAGCCCAGAGCTCCAGGAAAGGTTTTCTGGGAGGACACTTTGCAGGTGTACAAACTGCGACCTACACTCCAGTCTCTCTGAGACAGTACCCTCAACATTCTTGTTTCTTCTCCCCAAGTATTTCTGAAGATTGGTGCTCCCTCTAGTACCTATTGCTTGGTACCAGGATACCAGGTATAAGCACAGGACAAGGGGAAGGAAGTGTAGGGGAGGGGGGTACAGATGGTGTCTGTAATAGCCTCAACTCTCCAGTTGTGAGCCTACCTTACCCTGGGATCCGTTCCTTATGAACCCACCCACGGTGTTCCTTCCACAACAAGTAGGTTGGTTTCTGAGCTCAGAGTGTCTCATGAGATCATTCCTGCTCCAGGCCATGCAGATATAGGCCTTTATCCAAGTGACAGGCTCAGTTGATGCCTGCATATAAGGTATTAAATACAGAACTAAATAAAATACCTATTCCTACCTTATAGATATGTAGACTGAGGCACAATTTGGGGGATCGCTTAGAAAAGGAAGTAGTGTTAAGCACAGATCCAGAATGTGGGGAAACATGGACTTTGCCCTCCTTAGCCAAGTGCCTAGCATGTTGGTAGGAATCATACTGCAATCATTAATTCTCCCTAACTACTGAAATTAGAAAGCAGACTGCAATGCAGTCAAGCAAACAAGCAAGGACAGGTAAGGCACAATTGGCTTCCCTAAGTCAGGCAGCTGCATAGTATTGGGATCGGGATTGTGATTGTGATTGGGCTGTTGAGCCAAGTTCTTTTCCTTTATTACTCTTTGATAAAGCCTGCCCTGTTCCAAGGTTTGTAGAACCTTCAGAAGTGGACCACGAAGAGTGGAGTAGACAGAAATGAAAGTAGGATCAGCTGGGTAGGAAAGTAGGATCTTATCTGGCCTCAGATAAGACACAGGCCTGAAGTCCGCTCTGTGAGTCCCCACTTTTTAGCCTTCAATTACCCAAAGCCACATCTCAGCTGGATGGAAGCAGGTTAGAGGCCAGCATCAGTGCAGGGAATGGAGAAAAGAGGACCCTTGAGCAGGGTAGCCAGATGTGACCTGGTCATGGCCTGGGCACTACAGCTCAGGGTTTTGTGAAAATGGGCCATCCTCTAGTCATGTGTCCCTGAGCGTCAAAAGCCAGGGAATGCCACTTTGCTGCAAGCTCTGCATTGGGGTCTGTTGTTCTCTGTGCTGCTGAATGGAAGGCTGTTAGTGGCAGTTTGGGTTCAGACTGAAATTGGACCCTTTGTCTCTAACTACTGACCAGTTACAGTTGTAAACAAAGAGACCTTTTCTTTGCCTGAAATTCCTCTACTCATGACTGACAAAGGATGGCACAGTACATCTGCCTTCAAATGCTTTGGCTTCTGCTAAACTCATTAATGCATCCGATAAAATAGCTGACATTCCAGGCAAAGCCTCCCTCTTCCTGCCTTCACCCAGGGCTCAGAGAAAGGAATGCACTTGAGTCTGTTCAGTAAAGGAAGTCCTGGAAAAGGTGAAGCCCTTGGTACCTTTAAGTACTACAATTGCTCTGCTTTCCCTGTACATAACAATTTCGAACAAAGCACAAGTATGAAATTCTCAGATATATGCATGAAAAATTGCAGAGCAGAGTAGTGGAAAGATCAGCAGACCAGCTGTCTGACCTACGGGAAGTCACTTAACTCTGTGAGAGCCTGGGATCTCTCTTCTTAAGAAAACAACATTGTCATCCAGCTCATGTAGACCACTCTGAGGGATTGAGTACTCAGGAGTTTGAGTTCTAGGTCCTTGCTTAGCTCCCAGCGAGTGATCCTAGCCTGTTGCTTCACTTCTTCCCTCCAGGTAGCCCTATGCCCCAGAGGAGAAGGCATGGTGGAGAAAAAGACAGTTTAAAACATTATACGCAATTTTGGCCAGGTTAGGAAAAGCTGGCTTCATTAAGGCAGGAAATATGGGCTGCACCACCTTGGGAAAGGACATGGGCACCAGAGACACTTCCTGTACCCTGGCCATGGACTTAACTGTGATTTCCAAAAACAGTTTGCCTGCATGTACCAAGTGACTGTAATCTTCCTGTGGGCTTGGGACTAAATGTTCAGTGGCCTTTAGTCCTCTCCTCCCCAACAGCTCCCCCCCCACACACACACACTCACAAGCACCCCCTGCGTACACAGGCTGTCAAGTACTTGACTTGAGAATACAAAGAACAACATGTCTCCGAGAAGTCCATAACCAATCAGCAAAGTTTCCATTGTCTTCTGACCAATGTGCAGAAGAGCAGAACACAGACCTAGAGGTCAGAGGTGACAAGGCCAGGCAAGGAAGGAAAGTTTACTTAAACTTGGCCAACTTGAAGAAAGGGTTTATTTCCAGAGGTAAGGAAAACCTAGGCAACCAGGGAGACCCCCATAGCTGCTAACCTATTTCCATTCCCTAGGCTCAGGGATGAAGCACCCAGCTTAAGATAGGAACTTAGTTCAGCTTGAGCCAGAGGGCACTTTGCAAAGGAGAAAACAGAAGTATGGAGAGGTTAAATAACCTGTCTAGTATTGTACAACTGTGTCAGCAAGGAAGCCAGAATTCAAACTCTGGCAGGCCACCTTGAGATTGGGAGCTAATGAGGAGCTCCCTGGGAGTTCCCCTAGCCTTGACTGTCCAAGGAAGCAGAGCCTGAGACGCATTTCTTCCCACTCAGAAACTGTGAAGTTGTGGGTCTATTGCAAAGGAGCTGAAGATAAATGGTGTTTGGAAGGCTATCTTCTAAAAACAGCTCTAGGTCAATAGGAGACCTGGGTGGCAACAGATTCACACAGGCATGTAGTATGATTTCTGGTTGAGCCACCCATACCTTTCTATGTGGCCTAGTATCTGTCTTTACACTCGGGATGCCTGATGAGAACTTTCCTTTTCCTTTTCCATAGCTCTGTTCTTCAGCTCCCATGAAATCCATACAGAGCCCTTCTTCTTGACCATGTTGAGTCTAATAGTAACAGCCACCATGTCTCCAGGGCTCCACACAGAATGCAAACGTGAGCTCTCTCTGAGTGCTCTCTCACCAGCCCACATGGTACACCTATGCAATGAGCCTCATCCTATTCGGTTTCTGTTTCTTCACTGTCTGTAAGGGAGTATGGTGCGGGCTGACCTGACCTGGAGGAGCTAGGGTAAGTTAGCAAGTGAGTCTCCCTAGAAGAAGGAAGAGAGTTGCGGTCTTTGTCTAAAGGAAGCATTTCTGCCGTAGTACTTTCCAAATAGGATCCCTCAGTATCTTCAAATGTTTAATTCAGTCTCATGTCCACTGTGCCAGCCACTGGTCTGGAAGTTGCCAGAGCTGAAAGAGTTAAAGACCCATTGCAAAGGAATGAAAGCAGGGAGGGAGGAAGCCAGGCCTGAGCCTCTCTTAGATTTGTCACTTTCCCTGGTGGCTTAGTAGCAGAGCGAGAAGCAGACCCTGTTATAATTCTTCAAGTCCTCTTATATGTCAGTAGGATTCTGCTTCCTAGCTGACTGTGTAGGGGGATGGCTAGAGCTGACCTGAGCTGGAGGAGATAGGTAAGTTACCATGCGAGCCTCCTTAGAGAGCAAGAGGAGGGCTGCAGCCTTTGTCCAAAGGAAGCCTTTCTGACGCAGACCTTTCCTCTGTGGCACTTCCAGTCATCTATTGATTAGAAAATCAAGTCATCCTGTGAAAGTAGATGGGAATTTTATCCCAATCCTTCAGCTAAGGAAACTGAGGTAAGAGAGGTGGAGATACTAACTTAGGATCACATTGTGAAGTGAGTAAAGAAGCAGAGATGTAAATCAGCTTAAGAATCCAGAACAGCATGTGAAATCCTCGTGAACCTTCAGCCGTGGGACATGTCATGTAGGTGGCTTCTTTGCACCTGGTGGATCCCTACTTACCTTCTCATGACATTTCAGTCACATGACTATTTCAGTCTCATGTCTACTGTGTCAAGCACTGGCCCAGAGATTCATTCTCTCACCATTTAATTGATGGCCTGAGCCCTGCTATAAGGATCAGAGACATGATGGTAGACAGAATGGAGCCCCTAGCCTCATGCAATGTCAGTTCTGCAGGGCAAGGGACAAGTCTAAGTAAGTAAAACACATAGTAGAAAAGTCTGGGGGGGGATACAGGAGTAATGGAGGAGTGATAAAGTTGTCTCACCATTTTAAATGCAGTGACCAAGGAAAGCTAGGGTTGCATTTGTGCTGTGTTGAAGAGGCAGTTACACAGGTATCTGAAAGGGCCCTGAAACTGACTGAAGAAATCACAAAGAAAGTAGGTTCATGTGGTGGCTAGAAAAAAAGAGAGGCCAGCTGGCAAGGGTCTTGCCAGACTAAGAATTATGGCTTGTGCTGGAGATGTGTCAGAGAACCAGCCCTTCTATGGCCTGTATCCATCACCCCATCTGAGACTGGAATAGCAGGGCACAGCCTCATTCATTTCAGCCTTCGTTGGGCACAGCAAAGCATATAGAGTTAGAGGGAAGCCAGGAACCTGGGTGCCAAAGTCTCACAAGTTGATAGATATGGTATTGGCTACCCTGAGGCTTGTGACCAGTGCACTGGCCATCAGAAGGCAGAGAACTCTCCCAGAACCCATAATTCCAAGGACTGGGGACCTTCAGGGAGGTATAAGGTACTGCTGCTTTGACATCAGGAGTTTTGCCTCCAGAGGTGTTTGCTGGCTCCCCACAGCCCTGGTTCTGCTCACTAACCAAGGTATGTCTTTGTCCTGTACAGGCATGCCTGTGGTCCTGTCACAAGAGGTGGAGTCTGTCCTTGTGGGAGCTGCTATTCTGGGTGCCTGTGCCTCAGGGGACTTCACTTCTGTGCAGGTATGTTAGGATCCACGGGTGGCTGTGGTCCCTGCCCTGTCTGAAGCTGTCTGTCCTCTTGACAGCAGCTCATAGCTTGCAAAACACACACAGGATATAATTAGGAAATGATAGGTTGCAGCCAGAGAATCATAGGCGCTCGCCGCCTCTGACGTAGTCACTGTAGCCTCCCTTTGGCTTCACCTCTGTTCATGTGAATTGTTCTGGTTCTCCCTCCTTTGTAGGAGCTCCTAAATTATTTAGCTTCAATTTCTGCTTGGCCATTTTTCTTTGATTAAGTGAAAGAGTTAATGCCCAAAATGTTGATTTTCCACGTGGACTTCAGAGTTTTACTTGATTATTTCATCTGCATCACTTTTGGAATATCTCTGAAGCCTCTGTCAACAAGAAACACAAAAGAAAGTGTTGGTGAGGGAAAAAAGAATTAAAAATAAAGTAGAAATAAGGAACAAAGTTTAGGAAGCCGGAAACAATTTGGTGGTGGTGATTTGAGTGCATGATTTTGCTCTGAGCTTCCTGGCAGCCAAGACAAAAAAAAAAGGCATGATAAATTGCATAATTCTTATTTTCAAAAAGAGGAAGCATCCTGGTTTCTGGTAAGAGACAAGCTTTTCCTGATGTGAAATCACAAAAGACGTTGTACATGCTGGAGGTTGTTAAAGGCTTCCAGCATTGAAATGATACAAAAATCCCTTTAAAAAGTGAGTGTGAGGTAGGACAGACAGGCTCTGCAGTTAGACTACTTGGTCTCGAGTGCTGGCCTCCCTACACATGAGCTCCGAGGACTCACCCATCTTCTCTACTTGTACTTCCCTAACTCTCCCAGTGGCCCGGAGCTGGCTTGCACACTCTCCTATGGCTCAGCTGAGCATATGTCGTCCCCACCACAGCTCTCGAATCCCCATTTTAGAAATGTGGAAGTTAAGCAATCTTCCTCTCCTCTTACATCTCTTTTTTCTTGTGAGATCTGGTGCTTGGAGCTTGGTAGTCATTTTAGGCTGACAAGGTTTGTAAAAGCAGATATTAGACACTGGAGAAAACATCCTTGATTGCTGAGCCAATCCTGGGAGCAGAGTACCAGCTCTTGGACAAGCTCATGGAACAGCTAGTAAGAGCTAGAAGCAAGTCAGAGCCCCAGCTACCAGCTGAGAACCAGAGGGTTTGATCACTTGCTCATATGCCCCAGAGTTAAGAGAAGAACTAGGTGTTCTACCAGTACCCCAATAATTAGAATTCAACTTGCTGTGACTGTCTACTGTGGCAGGTCCTGTGCTAGCTTCTTTAACATAGCTTTCCTAATGTGTATATTACCCTTTCATGGCCCATAAGAAATACTCAGAAAACTTGCAAACATAGATCATTAGAAATTTTCAGAAGCAGAAGCCCATTTCCAGTGTCCATGTTCTCCAGAAGAGTGTCACCTTAACAGTGACTGTAAAAGATCTCTCCTAAGGACCTGAATCTGCTCATGGACCCATGGAAGTTTTAGTAGAAGTCTTTAAGCAGAGGTGGCATCAATGAATTGTTTATGTATTATTGCTTTCCTAATCCTCTCAAGAGTAGGTTTAAAATAGGAAGATACAATCATCAGAAAGGGAGCCTCTGGCAGAGAAAGGCCTGGGCTCTTACCTACCCTCATGTAAATCCACATGGTCTTCAACTCTAGGCTTGCTTGGACATACTCATGTCATCTGTCATCTTCAATGCTTACTTCTTTTTTCAAAATGGAGCAGGACATATGGCTGGGTGCTTAAAGCACTTCACTGCTCTTCCAGAGGACCTGCATCCAATTCCCAGGACAATAAGGGGCTCATCTGTGGAGTTACCATCTGTAACTCTGGTACCGTGGAGTCCACTGCCCTCCCTGGCTTCTGAGAGTGCCTAAACACAGGTAGTGCCTATGCATATACCTATGCACTCAGAAAACACAAAACACAGAAAACAAAAACTAATTAAGTACTCAATAGGAAATAATGTGTGCAACTAATTTCCATTGGTATGGCTGACTGTAGCGATAAAGAGTCTTTAAAAGCTTCAGTCTATGGAAGCAGCCTCGTTAGTGTGATTGCATCTGGAGCTGCTTTGGAAATGTAATACATACACTTGATACTGTTCATATTTCTTTGAAAAAGAAACAAATGGAGATCTCCAAGCCTGGGGACCAGCTTAGACTCTACAAGGTGATCCTGTCTGTGATTCATACTTTTCAGCCTAAACTGCAACACAATCTTTTTTTAGAACTTCCAGGATCCTAGCTTAGTCCTCACAGGGCCTAAGAAAGGTAAGTGCTTTCTGCCAGGCACTCAGTTCCTGCAGCCGTCACAGTTGGTAGATCTTACATAGATAGGCTGATTTTGTAGACCCTGTCAGGGTCATCTCCTTCAGATAAAGGGAGAGCTAAGATCATGGGTAGGAGGAGACATGGATTGGAAAATTAGAGAAAGAGCTTATATGTGCCTGGAGAGAACCTGTCCCAGTTTCCTGAGGCCTTGAGTGACTTCAGTCATGGGTAGAGCTTGTACCTTCCTTTTCCAATACCAATGGATCAAGGAGAGCCATAATAATGGTACAACTTCGGCATACCACAAATCTGAGGGGATTTAGTCAGCTGGTGGAAAAAGACAAGGGGTGGGCTTTTCTGGAGGAGTTAGAGTAGCTGAGTTCAGGTTCCATTGCTGTCACATGTCCTGACACATGTGGGCAATTCTTTTCTTATGTCCCCTGCTCTTCTACACTTAGTTTCAGCCTCAAGGTCTCTGCCTGTCTTCTCTCTTCCCTGGCCCTTTCCTCCCCTTCCATATCTTTTCGCTATTCCCTTTCTAAATGAGGGACTCAAAAATAAGGATGAAGAGTATCCCAGTGAGCTGTCTTTCATGAAGCCTTCCAGTCTGGCTCCACCCAAGGGTGTATCCTCCTTCAGGCAAGTCATGAGATCTGTGTGTGTGTCTGCACCTTAATTTTCTACAACTTTGCTCTTGGGGTCAAAGTTCAGATGTTAAGCTGTGTCAAGGAACAGGTAGAAGGGAGTCTTATCCCTCCTCTTATTTGTATGTATGAAATTGTATGGCCTTGGCCAATGACGTGTCAGGTTAATCCCCTTCCCATCCTTAGTACCACTGTGCTACAAAATAATCCTTTGTATTTCTGAGGAACACAAAACACATCATTTGAAGTTGGTAGCAAAATATAATACTATGAAAGTTAAAATATATAAGTTTAATTTTAATATATATTATATATTTATATATAAATATATAAAAGATATGAGGTATATTTATAAGACAAATATAAATATATAATTAAATATTATATATAATATATATTATGAAACAAGAAGCTAGTTTCAGGAAGTTGTGAAAGAAAAAACACCCAAATAGTGGAGACAGGCATAAACTGCTTTTCCACTGACTGCTTCCTTCAGACCTCCAGTAGAGGTCATTAACTTCGTGTAATTTTTTTTATCTTAAGAAGAAGCAAGTTTTGTTCCACAAGCTTTCATCCCAGAAGTACTATTTATCTTGAACTTCCCCCTCCCTTCCCCAACTTGCAAAGAAGTGGATTGAAGATTCCAAGGCAAACTTAAGCAAAAGGGACAGTGATGGGTGTCCAACAAGCACCTATGGCCATTGTAAATGGAGCACGGGCTTGAGGAAAATGACTTAGCTCCTCAGAAGCCTCTCCTCTGCCCCACAACTTGAGGGGTATCCTTGTCAGCTACTGATTGCACTGAACTGCCATTAGCTCCCAAAAGACTCCTGCTTCTCCCCGACTAACATCTACCTGTAAATGGCAGTTACTCAATCCTCTGTAGTGTGTGTCCACAGAATAGACCATTGCTGAGGACAGCAATTCACCCCTAGGTCAATCTTTACAAAAGGTCCTTCTTGCTTGCTGAAGCCACCGCTCCCAATCTTTTGCATAAAATTTGTCTCATTTATAGCCAAATATTTCATCAATTTAATGTGTGTCAAATCTGTTGTCTCTGTAAAAACATATCTCTTGTGTTTTGTTTTGTGTGTGTGCATGTGCATGTGCGTGTGCGTGTGTGTGTGTGTGTGTGTGTGTGTGTGTGTGTTGGGGGTAGGGATCAATTTGCTGTGATTTGAGTCTTGTTTACCTTTCTACCACCATAAATGCCTGTTTTTCAGTTTGTAGAATAAAGCTCTGTCTGCTTCAACTTCTGGAGGTTTGGAAAGGTTGAGGACAAAGGATATTCAGAAGTGTGAAAACATCTCTTTCTTAGTGGAGTTGATCTTAGATTGGTGCCAGACTGCCACCCTGCCAACCCTTTCCTAAAACACAACTGAAATACAAGCTCCTTGAGTAAAAGTTAGAAAATCCAATTGAGACAGAAGAGAAATATAAAACCTTATTACCCTAAAACTCCTTTAGCAATTCTGATTAATTAATAGCTTGTTCTTTTGTTTGTAATTGGAATCATTTTAATTATAAAATATGTCAATACAATGAATATTGATTTATAGTATTTTTCCCACACCCAAGAACATGTAGTAAACTTTCTAATCATTTCTGCTGTTTGTGTTACTTGCTACCCTATAGAATATACCATACTCGTTCTACCAGACTTCAGCTATGCTGGCTGTTTCAGTTATCATCTCTGTAGCTAATTTTTTATTCATAGTCTAAATTATCATAGTCTAAGTATGAAACAGATTGTGGACATATGCAAAAGTTTCATCAAAAAATCTTTGCTTAGTTTTTAGGATCTTTTATATAGAGTAACACTCACCAACAGTATCTAAAAATTCAAGGTGCGTGTTTCTTGTGAATTAAGACTCCGTTTATCTTGCCTGCACAGGCATCTCATAATCTGACTCATTTCACATATGGTCCTGTTAACAGTATGAGTTTTAAGTATACGTTCGCCCTTTGCTGCTTAAGTATATGTTCCTGAAGTATAAGATGCTGGGTTCTAATTAGGTAGATTCAGATTTCAGATTAAATTTTCTTAGTGTGTTTTCAGCCCAATGTGCCAATAC